CCTACACGCACAAGCAACAGCAAAGTATGGGCGTTCCCCGTCAAACTCTACGCATCGCTTCTCAACAGATCATAATAGCCGTTATAACTTCTGCCTGGCGCTGATGTCTTCAAATCTCTAAAAGAATTGTGGAGTTGAAATCGCGCAGGGGTCGAGGATACGAGCACAGTTTCGGCGTTACTCAGTCGTTAATCAGTGCGGCATTGTTAAAGCTGACAGTGACTAATAAACACAAGCCTACATCATGCTGGCTCGTCAAAAAAATCACACGTCTGTCACAAGAGTTTGCGAACATTTCCATTAGCTTCTCACGCAGGCCACCTGAGAACCCGAGGCAGCGGCGAGTAGTAACCTCGAGCTGAATCTGTGATCAGAGGAATCAGACATAAAACGGAAAGGCAGATTAGGTTATAGGTCTTTAACTCATAAGAAGGGTTACATTCAGAATTAAATCAATTACTGGGCCATTCCCCGAAATGGGTTGGAAAAGGTGATTTTAAAAGTAAATTCTTTAAGATTTTAAATATTCTACTAGATCAAGTAGAATAGCCTTTTTTGTTAGCCTTTTAAAGAATATAGTGCCATTAAACTAAATGTAAACTTTATTTAATTATTTGGAATATAACTAACTTCAAAAGAGATCACAAGACTACATGGTGTTCATTAGAAAAATAACGGGATATTTCTATGAACATTTTCTATAAATTGCCTTCTGTACAAAATCATGGTAACATGTCCATTATTAACTATAAAGTATGATACAATTGTTTAAAAAAATACTTGTGCCTGAAGAGTTCACAACCTGAAAGAATGGTGGTTTTTCATCTTAATTAAAAGGAATGAATGGTAATGGTTTACGAGAAACACAAAAGACACCCTTTTTCATGGAATTACCTCACTATACCTTTTAATGAGGGCAGTTTCTTAGGATTATGTTGGTCTAACACTGATTCTGCACCTCAGATGCATTGTAAAACAGTTCAAATATTAATTCATTAAACTTTAGTTAGAATCTTGCAAAAGTACAATCTTACCTAAAGTACCTATAAAACCACAAAGGCAGTAGTTTTTTTTTTTTTAAGAGTTTAGATTTTACTGTAATTATCCTATAAAACAACAAATGTCTGGTGTGCTGCAGAATATATGCAGAATTCAAATAATGGGTCGAATTAAGCAAGAGAGCAGTTACAATTCCCAGAAGAGAACACTGAGGCTCTAAACAAACTCCTTTGTGGTTTGCAGAGAGCTCAAGAAACATGATTCAGGCAATGTTGTGTTGATGGGATTTATTGGTCATTACACTAAATGTCCCAGTTCACAAGGAAAGGGGTAATTTACCACAAGACAAGAACACCCTTCTAGCATACACTCATACACCCACACAAACTCGCTCGCATACACACCCTAACTAGTCTTACCTGTGATTCCCGATTTCCTTAAGGTACCAACAGAATACTAGACACATTACGAGACTTTGTAACATTGTAACCTTTTTTTCACCAAAATGTTTGTATTGTGAATGCTAATTAGGTTCTGGTCACACATATGTTCTACGTTTCAAAAATGAGCGATTTAAGTAAGGTGTATCGAAGAGGACAAATGTGATCTAGGTTACAATGCTATAAACGCAGCTCATATCAGGTGATTATGGGAACAATGTGTTAAGCAGCATTTTAGAATCTTAATATTTTGAGGTGTTTAGTCTGGGATCTAAAAAATACGAAATGCTCTCACACACTCCTGCACATACATTCACTAATAAGCACAAAACAAAGTTTGCCAGTTTACATTTTTCAAAACATTTTTGTGTACTTCCCCCTATGTTTTGAACGCAAGAACAGTAGTTAAACTGAGCTTGTACCAACAGAGCTCCCAAACCACTGATATATATTGACCAACCAGCCATGCACACTCATGTACACCGATATTTACACTTATTCATTCTTATTTACTTGCCATTAAAAAGGGAAAGAAAAAAAAAAGGCCTGTTTCTGAAGGTGCATCCAGCATAATGGTGTCAAATATCAATACGACACACTGAAAAAAAGCAGAAGATGGCAGCTGATCTGCAAGTTTGTGGTGGTGCCTGCAAGTCCGGTTTTGAAGCGCGAGATTTTCCTGGGTTTTCGAAGAGTAATTTATGTGGGCAGAGCGCACAGGGCAGACCTCTCTTTGAGACAGAAGAGAAGAGAAGAGAAGAGAAGAGAAGAGAAGAGAAGAGTCACTCTGTAGCTTTGAGACTGAAGGAGAGGCGAGGTCGGGACTTGCCCTTCCCCAAAATCATCCTTTGTTCCTCTTTCTGTTGTTTCTGCCTCTCCTGCTCTAGCTTCATGCGTTCCTCGTGGATCTTCCTTTGTTCTTCCACTATACGTAGCTGATCCTCAGCCTGAAACAATCAAACAAACAAACAAACACATGAGCAAAAGTGACTTTTTCAATCAGCCAAGACAAACAGGTACACTTTAGATCTTTTGATACACTAATACATTAAAAATGTACCTTAATTATCAGAACAGTATGTACTAATGAAAAAACAAAACAATGCTCACTGTATTCAGTACTACCATATACATAAAATGGGGGCATTGACAAGCATTCATTTTGTAAGTTCAGACTAAACATTTCAGAGAGGGCAGGTTCTACTAGCACTACGCAAGCGGAAAAAAACACTTGAGCATTCACAATGACTTGACACAGTAAAAACCATCAAAACCATTCAAATCAAAACCGTGAGGGTAAACATTTTCTGGCCATTTTGAGGAAG